TGTTATATTGACAGAGAAAGATGTGTTACTCTACAGATATCTGGTATATTGACATAGAAAGATGTGTCACTCTATAGATATCTGGTATATTGACATAGAAAGATGTATTACTCTATAGATAACTCTAAGTTAAAGTGACAGAGAAAGATGTGTTACTCTATAGATATCTGTTATATTGACAGAGAAAGATGTATTACTCTATAGATATCTGTTATATTGACATAGAAAGATGTGTTACTCTATGGATATCTGGTATATTGACATAGAAAGATGTATTACTCTAAAGATAACTGTAAGTTAAAGTGACAGAGAAAGATGTGTTACTCTATAGATATCTGTTATATTGACAGAGAAAGATGTGTTACTCTACAGATATCTGTTATATTGACAGAGAAAGATGTATTACTCTATAGATAACAGTAAGTTATAGTGACATAGAAAGATGTGTTACTCTATAGATATCTGTTATATTGACAGAGAAAGATGTGTTACTCTATAGATATCTGTTATATTGACAGAGAAAGATATGTTACTCTATAGATATCTGTTATATTGACAGAGAAAGATGTGTTACTCTACAGATATCTGTTATATTGACAGAGAAAGATGTGTTACTCTATAGATAACTGTTGAATTGACAGAGAAAGGAAAATGGGGCTGATGAGCCTGCTCCAGTGGCATCTTCAGCGGATTTGGCGGAGCAGAAGTTTGAAGGATGTGAGTTTATCATTGTGGGTATGGCCAAGGACAATGTTGATGTAAGTGGAAAGGCCCAGCTTATACAAGGTCAGATATCACTGGACACTGACTTCCCGGCCCTTGACAATGTCACCAAACATCTGGATGATGTCAAAAGGTATTTTTATTACTAGCTTTTCATGTAATTCAGTAAATATACTCGTGTCATAATTTTGCATCCTCGTGTCATTGTAACTCATTTAATATCCCTAATGTTCAGTCCTTATTATCTATGTGACTGATGACCAAAGTTGAGGTAAAAGTGTCTTGCATGCATGTTTGTATCGAAACAATGCAATATCACTTTCGTTTTCTTCAAAACAAAGTTATTCATTCCGATGAGGGAAAATTTGAATTGTCTATAGATGGTTTATATTGATAGCCAAGTGAAGTTTTAAATTTTATGATGGTTATTTTTAGGACTTTTGGTGACCTCGACCTGCAAGGTCAGGAGAATTTCTCTCGGCTATGTGCTGTAAAGGAAAACTTTGAAAAGCTGAAGAAAAATAAACAGCGCCTGCATTTCCTTACATCAAACCTCATAACAGACAAGGTTTGTATTTATTATCAATAATATCCTGTCAAAATCTCAAGTTAAGTTAAGGATTTAATCTTCCTTTGGTCAATTTAATCGAGTGATCACCCCTTTAATCAACCAACAAGCTTTTGCAAGTCTGCATATCGTAAAAATATATAGCCCATCACTGGAGGACCATCGTATTGTAAAAATATTTAGCCTATCACTGGAGGATCGTCATATTGTAAAAATATATAGCCTATCATTGGAGGACCAACATTTGTAAAAATATATAGCCTATCACTGGAGGACCAACATATTGTAAAAATATATAGCCCATCACTGGAGGACCATCGTATTGTAAAAATATATAGCCTATCATTGGAGGACCAACATTTGTAAAAATATATAGCCCATCACTGGAGGACCATCGTATTGTAAAAATATATAGCCTATCACTGGAGGACCAACATATTGTAAAAATATATAGCCCATCACTGGAGGACCAACATTTGTAAAAAATATATAGCCCATCACTGGAGGACCAACATTTGTAAAAATATATAGCCCATCACTGGCGGACCAACCTACAGTGATGTAGTGTAAGCTTATATGTCAATACAACAACATTATGATAAAATGAAATACAAACAAAGATTATTAGCATATTTGATTGTATTTGATTAATTCTTGCAACCTCTGAAAACATGTGTTCATACACACAGGCAATGTACATCTTGGAAATTCTGTGGGCAAATGAAACAGACAAGGTTTTAGACAACATTGAGTGTATTTTCAGTACAAATAGAAGTGTTATTACTTGTTCTGTAATAACTATTAATGTCTAGAATAGAAATTGAGAATGAAATGTGGTTTGTATTGTAGGGGAGAGAAGATGTTATGCTGCGGGTGGAGACAACTTACCTTTGTCACCAAAAGCAGTATCCTATACAGCACCAACTGACCAAGGACAATCTAAATACACTCCTAGAGGTCAACAAACACCTGAAGAAGGAAAAGATGCAAGATGTATCGGCTGAACTCTTTGCTGCCACAGCAATCTGTACCGACGTCTTTGTCGGTCTTCTCCATGTTCTTCAGGAAAAGGTTAGAAAAAAACTACAGTACAGGTTCAGATGTAATCCACAATATAAATAGAGGTCAAAAAATCATAATACAGATCAAGGTCATCGCTAACCAAGAAACTTATCAAGGTCATTGCTTATCAAGATACATGTTCAAGGTCAAAGTTAACCATAACTCATGTCAAGTTCAACAAACCATATTACATGTCAAGGTCATCATAAACCATGATACAGATCAAGGACAGCATAACCTACCATACATGTCAAGGTCAGTTTAATCAGCAGTAGAGGTTAAGGTCATTGTTTACTCTCGCTTTGTTCCAGGGGGACTTGTTGATTCTGAAGCATGGCTCCAGGAGGATAGCAGTAGAAATGGAGTTCTGGTTTAGTGTGATGAGCAGTGTGCAGAAGATTGCTGGTATGACAATGAGTGGTAAATGTGTGACCTCTGTGGGGTCATCCTGCCATGTGTGGACAGAGGAGGCATTTACCAAAAGATTCCAAGAACTGGTGGGACCTGACAAGGTAAGACAGTCTACCACAGTAGAGTGTGTCTGTATAAAGGAGACTCAGTCAATAGTAACCGGCACATTTTCATAATTCTAAACTCATTTAGGTACACAATTAAATTTGTACGTAAGTCACATTTGAGAAAATATTCTCAATGTTCAGCAAAATTAAGCACTTAACATTTTTAAACTTTCTGCATTTAGTCAATCACAAAATACTGTTTATGTGGCTCATTTAGTAAATGGAAAGGTAAAAAGTCTCCCCTTCCCCTGTGTCTTGCTTAAAATTTTCTTTTAATGAGAATATTTTGCCATGATCAAGGTGGGCCCCCTGTTCATCAATTACAAGAAAAAAAACCATGTTAATAATGATTTAATCCAGAAAAAAAATCTTAAAAAAAAAGAGAATTACAAATCTTTCATCTGTTTACAGTTCAACACCCTGGTACACCTGATGCAGGACTACCTGGGACTTGTACGGCTGCCCTGTTTCCGGATTTCACCGACTGATACAAAGTTTGTGTATACCAGCCTACCTAATCTAGCCACACCACCAGTGGCCCTGGTAAGTTATCCCTACCAACCCAGAGTTTGTGTATACTACCCTACCTATTCTAGCCACCCATCTATGGCTCTGGTACAGTATCCCTACCAACCTAGAGTTTGTGTATACTACCCTACCTATTCCAGCCACCCACCTATGGCTCTAGTACAGTATCCCTACCAACCCAGAGTTTGTGTATACTACCCTACCTATTCTAGCCACCCACCAGTGGCTCTGTTACAGTATCCTTACCAACCCAGAGATTGTGTATACTACCCTACCTATTCTAGCCACCCACCAGTGGCTCTGGTACATTATCCTTACCAACCCAGAGATTGTGTATACTACCCTACCTATTCTAGCCACCCACC